TTCCAAGTCTTTCAGTTTGGTAGCAATTAACTTGCATCAAGCGCTTTCCTGTTACCTTTATGAAAATTGAAATGTGAAGAATAATGATATTAATTTGTTCAATTTCAGGGCTAAACACGTCAAAGTTACTTCGCCAGATAAGAAATTAGCTGCAGATTGGATCAGCATCCAGTATGCTACAATGATACTCAAAGAAGAAATAGAGGAATGGATTCCAAAATACAAAAGACGATATTATGGTTCGTTATAGTGATATATATAAGAGTTTCTGGAGAAACTGCAATATGCCCCACGCCAGAGACTATATTGCCGTGCATATGCACGAATCGGCACGAGGATGTGCAAATATGGTAAAATAGTTCTTTTTTCTTGTATTTTAAGTCCCTAAAGTAGTAGTAAGTAGATAGTAAAGAGAACTAGTAGATAATCAGATAATATTATCAACCAGTTCTCTTTATATAATATAATATTGAATGTAAACATTTTTAACTTTTCAGGTGTACGCACAGCGACTTACCCCAAGTCCTAAAGGGTGTCAAGAATATTGGAGACTTTGTAAGAAACCCAATAGATGAACTAATAATTGAAAACAACTACCTTCCATCTTTACCTGGAAAAATATTTCAAAATGTTAAAATTATGAGATTGATGCTGAGACATAACGGCGTAGAGAGACTATCAGCTACATGGTTGGAGACACAAGAAATGAATTTAGTTGAAATATTCATAGTAGAAAATGATCTTAAAAGCATTCCAGCTGAAAGTTTAACGATGCTGAAGAATCTACAAGCAATAACGATTCAGTCACAAAACCTTCTAAGGTTACCAGCTATTAGTAATATGCCTACACTGAAGTACATTAACATACAATCGGAAAGTTTAAATGTAATCAATGAACATAGTTTTGAGAATTTACCGAATTTGGAAAGACTGTTTATTAAGGGTAGTATAAATCTTCGTCTGATCAAAGAAAATGCATTGTACAATTTACCAAAATTAAGAAGGTTGGAAGTAACAAACTGTGGAGTCAATCACATTCATATGAGGGCTTTGTCATTACTCCCTTCGCTTAGTGAAGTGTCATTTAGCAACAATAAGATAATTGATGCATCTATGGTGGGCAGAGCGACGAGAGATTTGCCTTTGCTATCCTATTTGGACCTGAATCAGAATTTAATCGACAAATTAAACGAAGGTGCATTTGTAGATCATCCAGCGCTAGAAAGATTGTTGCTTTCAAGTAACAACATAAAAATCATACATCATGGAGCTTTTCACAGAGTCCCTAAATTGAGAGTTGTAGATTTAAACTACAACAGAATTTCACAAATACACCCTGAATCATTTTTGCAACAATCGGGTAGTGGGGTCGAGGAACTTTATTTGATTGGGAATCAGATAATGCATATTTCCGAATTTAGATCTCTACTTGACGCACTGCCCCGACTGAAATTTTTGGATATGAGTGATAACTTACTTCAAGAAATCCCAAGAGGGGCGCTCAGGGGTCACCCAAGTTTAGAAAGATTGCATTTGAATAAAAATAGCATCAAGTTCATACAAACGGACGCATTTATTGCGATGCCGGCGCTAAGAGAGCTACATCTAAGTAATAACTCTTTAAGTGACATGAATGAAGGTCCGTTTTGGAATTTGCCAGCTCTGAAAGGATTAGATTTGTCCTATAATTATTTTCAACGTTTACAGCCAAAGATGTTGTATAATTTACCAGCTCTAAGGCGAATCAATTTGAGCAACAATCAAATAGCCATTGTCGATCCGATAACATTTATTGAATTGCCACTATTGGAATACATTAATATTTCGGGCAATGCTTTAGTATCATTACATCCAGCAACTTTCAGAAATTTAGGTAATCTATATGAAATAGACGTAAGTGTCAATAAACTAATGGAATTTGTGCCTGGCCTGCCAAGAGGATTAGAACAATTATATCTACAAAGGAATCAGATAACAAGCCTCCCTGTACCACCATCACCAGATTTAGACTTGCCAGCTTTAAGGACCTTGGATATATCCAGTAATGGCATACAAAAGATACCCCATGGTTGCATGAAAACTCTGCATAGTTTGCGTCGTTTGTACATGAGACGCAATGGCTTGAGACAAATAGAAGTCAACACTTTCAGCGACTTGAGCAACTTAGAAATACTAGATATTAGCAATAATCAAATTATGACTATCCATCCGAAAAGTTTCAGTAAGCTTGCTCGACTCAAACAGGTCAATTTGCATGGCAATACAATAGAAAGTTTCGATTTTATGGCAATACAAGAAAATGCAGCACTATCTACGGTCGATTTTAGTAAAAACAAGTTGAAGAGTATCAGTCCGAATATGTTCAAAAGACCTCTTGATGTCGAAACTCTAAATATATCTTCAAATAATTTGAATGAATTACCACCAACGTTAAATATGTTGTCAAAGTTGAAAGTATTGGACGCTAGTAATAACCATATCAAGCATTTTGATGGCAATGTTATGAATAATGTTCTCACCTTGAGGGAGATTAGAATGCCAAACAATAAGATAGTGGAACTTCGCCCTGGTAGTTTCAAAGACCTCAGGGATGTAGAGTCAATTGACTTGGAAAATAATGATATAGAAGTCATCCACCCTAAAGCTGTGGTGAACTTGCCAAACTTATCGGCAATTTACTTTGGTCGGAATCACATAGTAGATTTACCTGATGGAGTGTTTTCGAACCTTCCAAGGTTACGAATAATTGATTTACAAGGCAACAGATTACAATTCATTTCACCCAAGGCCTTTGATAATATTCCTTTGGTCCAATATCTCAATTTGAGTAACAATCAGCTAACCAACATCGACAACTCAGGACTGCGACAACTACCTTCACTGGAAGTGCTAGATTTAAGTTTCAACAAACTGATCAAAATAACAGCATCATCATTCCAGCACATGGAATGGTTGGTCGAATTGAATTTAGATAACAATCTCATTTGCTTCATTGGGGGCAAGCCATTTGACTTTATGCCCAGACTGAAAATTCTATCTATGCGCTATAACAAATTAACCATGGTTAGCGAGGCTACGGTGGCGAAACTAAGAAACAATATTGCAATCTTGGATATCGACGGTAAGTTGACGGGAGACGAGCTGCAGCTGCAGCGATCTATAAAATAAATTTAATCGACCTAAACATGTAATACATTAACTATGCATTTATTTTCAGGTAACCCGTTAACGTGCAATTGCGAACTTATGTGGCTCAAGTCATGGCTATCAGAATCTTCTGCAATAGGACCCAAATGTGCTGATGGTACTTATGTTAAGGGAATGCCATTTTCCAGAGAAGACTGCCAGAAATATGTGTCAGGAAATCAGGAATACGACGTAAGGTCCTGCATTGCACATGAAAACGAAGCTCTGTTACCTAGTTTGGCCACATCGCAAGTTTTTTCGACTCTAGATAAAATTAAAGACTACACGACCCAAATTAAAAACAATTATCACGTAAATAAAATTAACAATAGACCAGCCCCAGAGGAATCCGAATACTTTTACGATGATTATGTGGATTATCCATATAACGAAACTTTGGTTGAAAACCTCAACAATGATCTGCATTTACTGCAAAATAACAGGTCGCAGGAAAGTGGTGGGATTCCTACACTTTATGCAGGGACCAAAAACACTACCCCAAAGAACATCCCTGTTCCTACGCCATATAAGCAACCTACGAGTGGTTATACGTTTTTTGGGATGCCTCTACCGGCTATAAACATGGGGAAACTGTTGAATACCGGGCGTAAGATGGACTGGCCCGATAACAAGAGCACGCAACATACCAATAAGAATTATCAAACTCCAGCTCCACCGAAATTCGAAACGGGAGGATTTTCGCCAGTTCTTCCGACGACAGATAGTGGATTCAAGCCTATACCAAATCCTATGAATACATCTAATAATATGCACACTTTAGTCGTCAATCAAGGCACAGAAGGGTACTCCATAGCAGGTAATGTGGAGCAAGCTATTGTGATATCAACAACAGAAGCACCTAAGAAGATAGTTCACACAAATACAACCCATCAGAAAATGAAAAGCGAAATCCATGAGCTCCAAACTTATCACGACGACGACAATACTACTCATGTAGCATATAACAGAACCAAGAACATAGAAAAACAGAAGAGTGATGATAAAAACCTTAGCAAATACAATTTGATGGAATCAAACTTGACAATAACCCAAGTAACTGAAAAGGAGGGAATATTGATAACTACAGACACAACCAATGATATGTCTCTCCAGGCTTGGTTGGAATCTAGCACAAAATCTTATTCTTCAACTCCTGTAACATCAAAGCCACCTGTTAAAAAGCATATTGAAAATACTCACACGCAGCCTACAGCACTGTCTGCAGTTTTGGTACCAAGTAATGATGAGTTGGCCAGGAGAAACCAAAGTGCCAGTGTCAAACGTCCGGCTACTGTCACCAAAGTTAACATGCCTCATGCAGCACATTATGACCTTCAAGAACATACCAGTAACAACTATTCCCCAGTCATAAATAGGGAAGCTAAGACACGGTTTACTGATAATACATATCCAGGAAACAAAGCAAGGCAGGTGGACGGAAAAGAGTGGTACTACAAAAATTATAATAACTCTAATTTACCGCCTTATATTGCTCCAGGAGTTCACACTGCCAGCAGCAATAGTGTTAAACTCAATTGCTTAGTTTCAGTGACAGTATTTTGTATAAGTGTATCATTATTGTATGTTTAATTAAACTTTTAGTAATATAAAAAAAAGTTTTTTTCATTTCCCACACACTACTACCAAAAGTATGGAACATATCCAATTGTTTTCTTGAGTTTTGCTATGCCTAGTTTCCTATGATTGATGATTTAATTCTATATTTTATACACCAAAAAGAAGTTAATTTTTATTTTTAAAGTTAATATTATTTTAGGTTCTTACAATTTTAAATGAATAGAGATAAGCATTAAGACTTTTGAAACTGACTGTTTATTGTTTCAATAACTAAACATTTTTATAAGTCACAAAATGTTGGTATTCATTACAACAACTCAATTTTTAGGGAAAACATAACACAATTGTTAAAGATAAACCATAGGTCACAGTATTTTATAGGAAAAAAATATATATACAAAAGACTAACCAACATCACTGCTGCTTTTCAATAAAGTATTTCCTTAGCTTGTCAAGTGCTTTGTACCTGTGAGATATGGTATTTTTTTCTTCTTTGGGAAGTTCAGCATAAGTTTTTGTGTAGCCTTCTGGCTGGAACACACAGTCCCAGCCAAAATCTCTTGTGCCTCTTGGCTCAACTATCTGCCCTTTAGTTATGCCTTGAAACAAAATCACATCTGAGTCTTCACAACTTCCTTCACAATAAGCAAATGTACACACAGCCTTTGCGGATTTGTCTTCCCATCCAGTCAACATCTTCGAAAGACCTTCAGGCTTTATTTTATCTAAGAACCACTTGATGTAAGGACCGGGTAAACCGTTGAGTGCGTTAAAGCATAAACTAGTATCCTCTATTAATACAGGCTTTTTGAGACGACGAGCTGCTTCCTGGCATTTCTTTATGGACACCTCTTCTATATCACCTTGAAGTTCAGGCAGATCTACCTTGTGGCTAATAATTTCAAGAGGAAAGCTGTTCCCCAATATTGCGCGGAGTTCTTCAAGCTTTTTTGCATTACCGGTAACAAAAGTTAGCGTCTTTTGTGCCATTTTTGGTTGAAATTGGAGTGTAATAGCTATTAAAACAGTTCCAGCTCCCTTAGAAAAGAGAAATTAGGAATTTTGAGAAATAAAAACAAATCAAAACATTAGCGCATGATTTCAAGACCTCATGTCATTTGTCAATTGTCAAATTTGACATTTTACTTTTTTAGAAACTGTAATAGTGAGAAGACAAAACTAGATTCGATCGCACCTAAATAAGTTTTCACCCCATAATGACTTCGGTTTATTTAGATTTATTTTATCATTATAACGCGGGTGTTTTGTATAGCTTTGCGTTTTTTCATCAATTTCAAACCTAGTTCAAAAATTGCTCCAGTCAGAGTTCATACCACTGCTGACGGCAGTTATTTTATAACGTTACTTTTGTGTTCCATTGTCACTTAATGTAACAAACATGCCACACAAGAACAGGCCCAAATAAAATGATGACTGTCAAATTTTAGTTTTGATTGAAGAAGAATTTCGCTTCGTTGTTTGATCAGAGTTTGTTGTAATTTTACTACCGCTTTTCGTTTTCAATACTTAACTAAAACTTTGTTATTCTAAGAGTCAATATTACTTTGAAGCAAAATGCCGAGTCAGGAAGCAGTTGTCCCCGCTGTGGTCACCGCAAAAGTGACCACAAAGGTTGTGGTTCATCCGCTGGTTTTGTTGAGTGTAGTGGACCATTTTAACCGAATGGGCAAGATTGGAAACCAAAAACGTGTTGTTGGCGTCCTACTAGGCTGCTGGAGAGCTAAAGGGGTGCTGGATGTGTCCAACAGTTTTGCAGGTTAGTAGAAATAAAATGTCATCACTTTCATAAATTTTTACCATTTGGAGACTTGGATATAAATGAAAGTTAGAATATCTAACTTATCAGCTTTCTTTTTCCATAATCCAATGACTGTTGGTAGTCTGTCAAAAAACATAAAGATTCATTCATTCATTAATTCATTGGTAATTTATTTGTTGTTGACCATCCCTATTTTGTTTGCTGATATTTTTTAAGTATTCTTCTAATGGACCTTTTCGTTTAATTTCAGTGCCATTCGATGAGGATGACAAAGACAAGTCAGTGTGGTTCCTGGACCATGACTACTTAGAAAACATGTATGGCATGTTCAAGAAGGTGAATGCCCGTGAAAAGGTTGTTGGCTGGTACCACACCGGGCCCAAACTTCACCAGAATGATGTGTCTATCAACGAGTTGATTAGGCGATACTGTCCCAACTCTGTACTTGTTATTATTGATGCCAAGCCTAAAGATCTAGGTTTGCCCACTGAGGCTTACCAAGCTGTAGAAGAAGTTCACGATGACGGCAGTCCTACTACTAGAACATTTGAACACGTCCCCAGTGAAATTGGAGCAGAAGAGGCCGAGGAAGTAGGCGTTGAACATTTGCTACGTGACATCAAAGACACAACAGTCGGCAGTCTATCCCAGAGGATCACAAACCAGCTTCTCGGTTTACGTGGCCTCCACTCCCAGCTGAGTGAGATCAGAGACTACCTACTTCAAGTCGGTCAAGGATCCTTGCCAATGAATCATCAAATAATTTACCAACTGCAAGACATTTTCAATTTGTTGCCTGACATTGCCAATGACAACTTCATTGACAATTTGTACATCAAGACCAATGACCAATCCCTTGTAGTGTACCTCGCAGCTCTGGTGCGGTCCATTATTGCTCTCCATAACCTTATTAACAATAAGATTACAAATAGAGATGCAGAGGAAGGTAAGAAAGAAGAGGCCAAGGACAAAAAGGACAAGAAAGAAGAAAAAGACAAAGAAGACAAGAAAACTGAGGAGAAAGTTAAAGTAGATAAAAAAGAAAAAGATGAGAAGAAGAAGTAAATTAAATTAGACTAAGTTGTTTGTAATGCTGAATTATTATTTTTAAATAAATTGTATTTACTAATCTCAAAATGCTATTACTGTTATAATTTTTAAGTAGCCATGTCATACATTTTAAGTATTATTTAAATACTAGCTGACCCGGCGAACTTTGTTCCGCCTTAATGGCAATAAATAAGCAGCCTTTTTTTTTATTTCGAACGGGATAAAAAGTATCCTATGTCCTTCTCCTGGCTCTAAACTACCTCCCTGACAATTTTCAGCTAAATCGGTTCAGCCGTTCTTGAGTTATAAGTGGAGTAACTAACACGACTCTTTTATATATTTCCATGCAGAATTTTCAATGATTATAATAATGTTTTTTTCACTGTAAGACTAGTTTCATAAAGTTATTCAGAAAGTTTCTTTAAGCATTATCATTAATGTTCAGATGTTCAAAGCTGTGTGATGATTGAAAGTAAAATTTAATATTCCTGATTTATCTAAATAGTGGCATTGAGAATAAATCTTAGCACTGCTCATTACAAATTTTTGCCCATTTTTAACTTGGTAGTGATAAAATTAATAAAAATAATTTATTTTTCGAAAAACGTATGACTTTTGACAAGTATTATAGTACCCCTACTGTAAATAGGCTAATCATTATAATCACATTGATTGTCTACAAAATGTTAATTGTTATTTCAAACAGGGATATCAATTATTATCTGATATGATATTAGAATTCTGTACCTACATGATTATCACGGAATATTTGTGATAGGCCACTTATCTTCTGATAATATTGATAAGTGTAGCAGTCTTTGTATGGACGTACGACGCGTATGTGAAAGTAGTTTTAAAAATGTTTAAATTTTTGGTGAGGTGAATCTCAATAATTGTGGTTCGAGATGGCTGATCGTATTCAGTTAGCCGTAAGTAAATTATTTATGCTTTGTTATTATGTTTGTTCAGATGACATGTTATCTACTTTGATTATTTGCGTATTTTTGAAGATGTAAAACAGCGAATGATAGCGGCGAAAGGACGTGGTCAAATTATACTATTGCCCGCCACTGTCCAATGACATGCATTTGTGCATGCATCCATATATATTTTTTACGGCCTGATTCGTCCTCGTCTTGCACGGCTGTTATAAGTAATTTGTTCGAATTGAGCAATTTCAAGATTTTTTTTATGCATAACAAGGCAGTATTTACCTATAGGATATTCAGGAATTGCCAATACTTACGGGAAGGCAAGAGTTACAGCAGGTTCTGTAATGCGCCCTGAATCCATCTTTTTATAATTTATAAACCTTGATCTACATAACACGTAGGTAACAAGTAGATTATTATTTTGTCATATCATCTTACGAACCGTAGATTATTCTATAAGCTCTCTTTTATAATTTTATCTACGCTAATAAACTCTTAGGGAAAGGGTATTCCCCTACTTATATCCGAGGTATTTTTTTTTATTCTATCTGCGCTCATTACTTCTTATATCTGCGCTCATATAAATACATCTTATCAATCATGATGTCCTTAATACTATCGAACTTTCACTATGCAAAATCGTATTTAGATCTCACCTATCATTTCAGAATCTCGTTTGGCTGAAGCCAGAAGGGAAAAGCGAGTTTGACATCCCAATAGCGGTGAAAGTTCTCCAAAGTTCGGCTGAACAGATCAGGGTGCAAGATGACGATGGGAATATCTCCACGGTGGCCATCAGCAGGGTTCTCAAGCCGCTGCACGCCACGTCGGTATCGGGGGTTGAAGACATGATCACCCTTGGAGAACTCCAGGAGTACACAATCCTCAGGAACCTCCATCTGCGGTACAACCAGCAACTTATTTACGTAAGTGCTTTTAGCATTTTTGTCGTAAATTCAAACCAATTAGCTAACTTACAGACAGAGTAATACAGACGGACTAATTTGAACAAGTTTATCTAAATACAGGGTGTTCTATTTAACCACCTCTAGTACCGTAGCTTGTTTAAGTAATCCGTGTTTTGGTACATACTGAAACTTTGGCGATTGTTTGTAGTACCAGTAGTACTTAGGTAAATGTGGTAGATTGGTCAATAGCTTAGATACCTACCGAATTGTTGTGTCCTAGTTAACTCTACTATACCTAAATAGCCAAAGAAATGCGTAAATAAACATTCCACATAGAGCAGTGTTTATTTAATGACAACTGCAATCGCAAGTATGGTCCTGATAAAAATCCGAAGATGTATAACAGACGCCATTCTTATCAATTTATTGAATCACTGTCGTTTGCGATATATCGATAAAAACGTTGACGAAATTCTCTAATATTAGCAAGTTACATACGTAACATAATCTCTACTTATGTATCATAACTTGTTTCTTTTATGACTCATAAATGTAAATTGATTCAAGTGTATTGAATCTTCAACAGATGGACGCCTGTTGGTGATCGCAGAATTATGATCGTTTCTTAAAATATGCTTTTCATTCCAGACATATACAGGCACAATGTTGATAGCCATCAACCCTTACGAGATACTGCCCATCTACACCATGGATCAGATACACTTTTACCAAGGGCGAAGCGTGAGCGAGGTGCCGCCACACATATTCGCTATTGGCGAAAACTCGTACAGAGAGCTCATGGACACTGCTTCTAATCAATGTATCGTCATCAGGTAATTAGGAAATTAAATAAATGTACAGGCACTTATTTACCCTTTTATATAGGTAATAGCGCATAAATGAATAGGTTCCTGTGGCAGTGAAGAGCTGTCACATTAAATTTCTGAAGCACATCTCTCTCATAACTCTGACGTTTACTTTACTAATATACAGGTGATATACAGGTTGTGTTCGCACATCTCCACCACCGCAGAATCTATGTCAGTCAGTTATGCGCTATATCTGTACAAAAGGTAGTTTTTATGAATCGAAAGCTTAGCATTTTTACATAATATTTTTGTTGTTAAAGTGGCGAGAGTGGTGCCGGCAAAACAGAAAGCACAAAGCTTCTTCTGCAATACCTCGCTGCTGCCAGTGGGAAGCACTCATGGATCGAACAACAAATACAAGAAACAAACCCAATATTAGAAGCGTTCGGTAACGCCAAAACCGTCAGAAACGACAACTCCTCCAGATTCGGGAAATACATCAACATATACTTCAGCGGCAAAGGAGTAATAGAAGGCGGTAACATAGACCAGTATCTATTAGAGAAATCAAGGATAGTTTCTCAAAATAAAGGGGAGAGGAATTATCACATTTTCTACTCTCTAGTAGCAGGATTGTCAGCTGAAGAAAAGAAAAGGCTGGAATTGGGCAGACCCGAAGACTACACCTATCTAAATTCTGGCAGTATGCTCACTTGCGACGGCCGCAATGATAGCCTAGAGTTTGCTGATATACGATCTGCGTTCAAAGTTCTCAACTTCCCTGATAAAGACGTTTGGGGACTCTTCAGCTTGCTGGCCGCCATTTTACATATCGGCAATCTAAAATTCAAATCCTTCAACTTCAACAACATTGAATCTTCAGAAATTTCTGATGCCGTCAATGCAGGCAGAATTGCTACTCTTCTGGGAGTGAACAAGTCGACGCTGTGTGAATCGTTGACCAGGAAAACGATTGTTGTCCATGGTGAAAAGATTGTCTCCACCATCACCATATCTTCAGCTTTGGAAGGCAGAGACGCGCTCGTAAAAGCCATTTACGGGCATATCTTTGAGTACATTGTAGAGATGATAAACAAAACACTTCACAAAGACCAACAACTTTCCAGTGGATCTGTAGGAATTCTGGACATTTTTGGATTCGAAAACTTCGATTCCAATAGCTTTGAACAGCTGTGTATAAACTATGCAAATGAAAATTTGCAGCAGTTTTTTGTGAGACATATTTTCAAACTTGAACAAGAACAATACGAGAAAGAGGGCATCACCTGGACTAATATCAATTATGTCGACAACCAAGAAAATCTTGATATGATTGGGTTGAAGCCAATGAATCTGCTCACTCTGATTGATGAAGAGTCAAGATTCCCTAAAGGCACTGACCTGACACTTTTGTCCAAATTGACGACTAACCACAGTACAAGATCTTGTTACTTATCTCCAAAATCTACGCATGAACATCGATTTGGAGTTAAACATTTTGCTGGTGATGTCTTCTACAATGTTAAAGGTAAGTGATGCTCGATTTGTTGAGCAAGGTTATTAATTTTGATTAGTATTCAGTTTTTATCTCTATTTTTAGGTTTTCTGGATAAAAATAGGGACATGCTAACAACGGACATCAAGGAGATGATGATGGACTCCAGCAATACATTCCTAAAGAATTTGTTCATCGCAGAGACTGCGCCAACTCAAAGCGGCCGCAAAGTTGTCTCTTTGAGTTATCAATTTAAGACTTCACTAGATGCCCTAATGAAAACTCTATATGCCTGCCATCCGTTCTTTGTCAGATGCATCAAACCAAATGAAATCAAAAAACCAAAAGTGAGTATTTTTAATCTGATACTGATACTTCTTAGACCAATTAATTTTACCGTGTGAGTGCGACCAAAAACAAAAAAACAACTTTTTTTTAGCTCTTAGATCGCGGTTTATGCGTTCGACAATTGAGGTACGCGGGTCTGATGGAGACCGCGAAAATAAGACAAGCGGGATACCCCATACGCTACTCGTATGCAGAGTTTGTCTACCGGTACCGCCTCATAGTGCCCGGTATACCACCGGCAGAAAAAACTGACTGCAAGAATGCCACGAAGAAGATTTGCAGCGAAGTTTTGCCAGACCAAGAATTTCGACTTGGGCACACTAAAGTATTCCTCAAAGATTCACATGATGCTATCCTCGAAGAATTAAGACACAAAGTACTTATGACTGCAGTTATCAAAGTTCAAGCCAATGCAAGAAGGTTTATCCACAGGAGAAGATTCCTTAAATTGCGTGCTGCTGCTATATCGATACAGAAGCATTTCCGAGCTCGAGGATTCAGGAAGAGGTATCTTGTGATGAGGAGAGGGTACCTGCGA